TTTTTATCGAATAATATTTAACAATTTAAACCTCGAAGAACTCACCAAGTGTAACCATAATTTTAGTTAATCTTGCTAATTTAGGATTAGAATTTAGATTTAGTTGTACATTATGTTCAAGTCTTGTTGTCTGATAACCAGATTTTACTTGATCGTTGGAGGAAGTATAATCTTCAAAATGGGGCATCTGAATATCAAGTGATATGTTAATGTTTTTAATACACTAACGTTTTGTACATTACTTGATATGTAATTTTTCCATGAAAATGAAACTGAGCAAATAATAAATACTTCCTATTTTATCTTTTCATTTTGAAAGTATTATAGTGTATAATAATTCGTCAAATCGAGTAAACTTTAAACAAATACCCATGGCATTCGACGACAGGATTTCCTTTTGATTGGTGCTGCAAGTTCACTAGAACATATTATGTTTTTTGACATGTTGTTAATACGGCACACCTGACAATCTTGTGCGCTTCTAGATCGAAAGGTATAAATAAAAGTTACAAATGTTATTTAAGTAATTTTTAGTCCATTTTATTGAGGATTTGAATGGGATTAATAGATGAGGTTGTGTTAGAAGTTGCAGTTTCAAGAAATCTGAATATTGCAATTAGTTTAAATGAGGATAATATATGTACATACATTTTATTATAACCACATATATAATAAACAAATAGGTATTAAAGTAAAATAAATTTTTTTTATTCATCTTCATACAGAAAACAGAGATTCCAATGTATTTTATCAAGCTGTTAATAAGCCAAATCTAATAATGTGTTGATTATTGTAAATAATTACTATTTAATATCATAATGTGTATGTATACGTATAATGATATACATATATACATATACATAAATATGTTTATTCTGTACTGCAAATACTTAGATAAGGTCAAGTATATAATACTGTAGCTACTGGCTTTTCAGATTTTAAACTGTTCAAAGATATTTACTAAGCTCATCATACATATAAGTTACGTACATACTGAATGTTTAACATCTACAATCACTGCATCCGTTTTCCTTCTTGCCGACCAGCTAGTAGTTGTTCTTAATCAACCTTCCTAAAAATTAGAAATAATACACATTTATATAAGACACGATTTAAATTACAATAGCATTTAATTATCGTTGTCACAATTAACCAAGCATTTCGTAGTTACACAATAAGCGAAAACTAAACGAGATATCTCATTCATTTATTAAACAAACTGTTTGGAAAAGCGTATTGAATAGAAAAACGTTAGTATTCGTATGTTAATACATGTTGAAATGTTAAGCATGCAGGAATCATATAATATCTTCGTAAGAATCTGCCACGCTTCTCACGGTACATGCATCTTCATCTTGAGGAACATCAATATCTACGTACACAACACGAAGAGTATTCGTGTATCCTGAGCCCTGTTTCCATCCAGTAACCACAACGACCGAATCTCCAGTCTTAACAAAACCACGGCTTTTGCCGAAGTTTAATCCAAACTGAACACGTACATCCACGTCCTTCAGCCAATCAGACAATGGTGCATCTATAAACAGTAAGCAGATCGACTACATTCTCCTTATCAAAATGTTTGCCGTCATTAATCATAAATTATATATGATTTATAACGTTTCCTGCGCAAAAACAGAAAACGATCTTTTAAATTAACACGTGTCGTAACATTATGCATTACCTTCATAGAAAAGTGGCAGAATACCACGATAAAGATGCGCTTGCCGGGCAACCTGATGGAACCTGGTTACCGCGATAATTGGACAACGCGGTCTATATTTTGCAATTAGATGTGCAGAGCGGCCACTGGTCGTAATTACTATAATAGCGCTAGCTAAACATTTCGCGGATTCTTCGACGGCAGCAATTGCAACAGCGTGGGTTGCATCGATCGGAGGTATAGCTTTGCTCGAGAGATCATGGAATATCTGCGTCTGCCAAATGGCGGCTTCTGCTTCTTTACAGATGTTAGCCATTGTGCGCACACATTCCAGTGGGTAATCACCCTTGGCAGTTTCACCTGTGACAAAGATCATTTTATTTATTACTTATAAACTCGTTATGTCAAAATGCCTCCTATTAGACATCCTATTAGAAGAGTATTAGTTTACATATACTTATAATTCCTCAATATAACATTACCTGACAACATGACGCAGTCAGCGCCATCAAGAACAGCGTTAGCAACATCGGACGTTTCAGCTCGAGTCGCACGCGGCTTTTTCACCATAGATTCAAGCATCTGCGTGGCACAGATTACTGGCTTGCCAACTTTGTTGCACCTACTGATCATGCATTTCTGAGCGAGAAATACTTTCTCTGGTGGTATCTCGATACCAAGATCACCACGCGCCACCATAATACCATCGGAGGCATCGATGATCTCATCGAGATTCGTCATGCCCTGTTGATTCTCGATCTTCGATATTATCTTAATATTCTTTCCCTTCTCGCCAAGGATCGATCGAATCTCTGTCAAAGCTGCAGCATTTCTTATGAAGGAAGCGAAAATCATGTCAACTTCCTGTTCAACGCCGAACTGCAAGTCAGACTTATCCTTCTCAGAAACGGCTGGTAAATCTACAGGTACGCCAGGCAAGTTAACACCCTTGCGGGAACCCAACATGCCACCGTTCTCAACAGTAGTAATAATACTGTCAGGATCTGGCGAATGAAAGAGAAAAATATTTAATATAGGAAATTAATCCTAGGAGATTAATCTAATAAACTAGTTCTGTAAAGTATTAACAAATGTATACCCAGAGATTATCACGTAATAATTATAATCATATGGCAGATAGAATGATATTAGTCAATGATACTTAAACAGTGTACGATAAATTAGTATCTGTACATCAGGATCTGATATGATGACCCATTTAAAACGATAATGAATTAAATCAATTTCTAAGTTCTCAAGATTATTTGTACAACTAATTTGATGATACGTACTAACTGCAGTAACGATGAGAGAAATTAATCCATCGTCAACGAACACGCGGTTTCCAACCTTCAGCACCTTCGAAATATTTTCATAATCTACGAACACTGCGTTTTGGTTACCCTTCTCCATGTACGACTTATCGGTAGTTAGTTTGAAAGTCTGGCCCTTGGTTAATTCTACTTCAGCGGACCCGCCCTGTTAAAATAACGAATAGTTCAATAACATACCTTGTTTAGAGTAATCGATTTTAAATATATAACTGATAGCAAAAGAAATATAATTAAGTAGTTGTTTAAACTGAAATATTAATCTAAAAATACAAATCTAATATGCAACTATACGAAAGCTTACAAAATAAATTCAATTGTTCACATATAATTCAAATAATTTAACACTAGAATTACCGAGCACTGAAATTAACTTTTTGAAACGTCTGTATGGAAACTTCAAGAGTGCATCTATGGAGACATTAATTGATTCATTATTCAATTTGCATATTACCAAATCAATTTCTTTAATAACTCTCAGAGAAGCATCTACTATTTTTTTTAATAATCGCGAAAAGGAGAAATTTGGAATGTGTCGGTAATTCTAGTGTTAGTAATTGTATGACTTAGTTAAAAGTTAGAATCAAGTAAAATGAATTACGCACGCCTTCCAAAAGTCCTGTACGAATCTCAGGGCCTTTAGTGTCGAGGGCAATGGCTACAGGAATGTTGATGCCACTACGAGCAGAGAAGTTCTTTTGAGCTTCTCTCACGTTGCGAATGGTCTCGGCGTGATACTCGTGAGATCCATGAGAGAAATTCAATCGGGCAATGTTCATGCCCGTGTCGATCATCTTCTCGAGTGTCTCAACAGATCTCGAGGCCGGTCCAATGGTGCAAATGATCCCCGAAAGACGGACGAACGATGCACGGCTCTCGATATCGAGGGCACACATGTGGTCTAACTGGCTTTGAGCGTATAAAGCTTGAGTATTCGGCTTCCCAGCCATCTATAATAATACAGATACGATTAAATAAAACTCGTGCATACACAAACGATCCAAATGCCGCTTGGAACAATCAATGAACAGCTAGAAGGCATCCTCATAGCTTGTATGTAACTAAAATGATAAAAATTATGGACTAATATTAAACGCCTCTATATTCTTATGAACACAATGCATCACGTGTATCCAGTGTTAATTGGCTTTAAATAATTTTCACAGAGCACGAATAACTACTGATGAATAGCCATTCTAAGGGAAACTAATTATACTCTTCAAGTATGATGATTCGATTTTGTCAAGGTCGTGGAGTAACTTAATTTTTTTACTAAGTTACATTATACTTATTTTACTTGAAGTAATGCAGGGTAACTTATAATTAATTGTGCGACTGGTGCGACCTTGATAAAACAAGTTTTTAATGTTTTTTCGATTGATATCGTGCGAAGAAAAGCAAATATCAACTTTGAGAAGAATAAGTGAAAAAATATATAGTGTGTATGCGATATATAAAATTATTTCGTTAAAAGTGCATGTTTCAAGTAAGTTCTTTTAAAACACGATTCGAAAAGCAGCTCTAACAAGGAATAAGCAATAGCTATTGCAAGATCGCATCTGTTAGTTATTGATATGAATCCTTTCAAATAATACAGAATAGCAATATAATATACAATAGAATATGTATCCTATAATAGGATAATAGGCAATTCTATATATAACAATGAAAATCTGTTTAATATGAAGTTTAACATTCACGAAAATTAGGTTTGAAAATGTTTTAACATTTAATCACTTTATTCGTTTGTCTGACCATTGCTGGCTAATTCCACTTATATTAATACGTGGAAAAATGCACAGTAAATAATATTATTATTATTCGCCCACAACAATTTTATATACTTTAATAAGTTGAGGAAAATAAAATCAATGGAAAACGTTTTGTTTATTAACTATAAATAGTACCAGAGAGCAATGCCCTGACAATATCCAATTGTTCAACAAGTGTTTAAGTTTGATTTTCTCGAAATTAACGAATAACACAAAAATTCGACATTTTCAATCTACTTTATTATGTAGAATCACCTCTTGCCCCAGTATCTAATCTACATTTACAAAAATACATGCGAACTA